AGAAAGCCCCAGGTGGGCTCTCTCCTGGTACTCCGTCTCAAGGAAGGAGGCAGGATAACACCATCCCACCCCCCACACCCTTGAGGGCCTTCAGGAACAGTCCTGCTTCCTCTGCCAAGCTCCTGAAGCTGTCTGCAGGCACACAGCTCCCCATCCCCCACTCCCCAGCCAAATGAGCTACCCAGGCCCCTGCACTCCTCCAGCATCTTTCCCATATTATGTTCCAGAATGGTCCACAGGCTGACCTGAAGTGTGTCTACCTTCGTGTCTGTCTCCACTAATTATTCATTTCTTACAGTTCAAGGAACATATCTTACTCAACTCTGCGCCTAATGTATATTGAATGAATAAGAGAGCAAACGTCTTTTATCTTTAGTCTGTGGACACAGGGAAACAAAGACCTAGAATATTGTCTTAACGACATTATCGAGATGAATAAAAGTCAACACATTTAAGCATTACACTGAAACCAACAAGGTACATTTTAATAGGAATAAATTAAAAAATCTCCATTTTGGGTGACTGAAATCAATAGTATGACTGCAGGACTCGTGGCGGGGGGTGGGGGGAAGCCATTCATTTGGCCAACATTTACTGAGTGCCACCTATGTTCCAGTCACTGTTCCAGGAGCTGGATATACAGCACAGACAACGTCTCTGAGATGACAAGACTTAAATTCAACTAGAAAAAAAGATCTACAGGTTTTAATCAATCACAAGTTTAATGTGAGTCATTGAGGTAATACAGCAGCAACAAGAGCAGGAAAACAAACAAATCCTAACCTGATTTTACCTGCACAGAGAGACGGTCAGTGCCCGCTCATTGCCCTGTGCTGCCCAACTACCACATAGGGGCTTGGAGCTAACCACAGGTCTCTTGTATCAAGAGGGACTCTGATATGCAAGGGATGTAGCATATCTGGAATAATATGGTCAGGTCCCCACAAGTCTGAGAGATGACCGAAAGATCTGCATGTGTTTGGACTGGAGAACCAGAGGTCCGAGGAGATGCAACAGTTTTCTTCAAATATTGAGAGTTGTCTACACGAGACTTGATTGCAAGGGCGTGGAGTTCACCTGGTAGAAATTACAAAGCAGCCGGAAGAGTTTCTCACAAGGAGAACTGCTCCACTAAGGTATGAGGGACCTCCTTCCCCAGGGAAGACATGTCCCATCTATGGTAGAAGAAAACTATGGTATCCAAGACTAGACTGGAATATCAAGAGACCACAGTAGATTTTGAGTCCCATCAACCGTAAAAGCAAGAATTCTATAGTTAATCTTCCATTATCAGGAAGGCAGTATTTAGGAGTACAGGCTTTGGATTCAAGCAGAGCTGGATCCCAGAACTGGATGGGGGGAAGTCACTAGCACACTCCATGCCTCATTCCCTTACTAGTAAGAGAAGGACGGTCACAGTTCCTACCTCATCCCAGCCAAGAGGACGAAGTTCTGTTAACTTCTGTGAGATGAGTTCTGTTAAGTGCTGCTTTGCACAGTCCCCGGCCCTTGGTAAGTCATCAATAAACATTAGCTGATAGTAATAGTAAGTGTTCTTCATTTTATTTTGCTTATTTCAATTTATTTAGGTAAACTGTTTTGCTGTGAGTCTCTATAATTTTGTAATCCTCAATCATGCATTTATAAAAGCAATTATTATAGCAATTTAAAACTGTAAAATAGAAGGACTTTAGAGAAATTTGAAACATTTTATTTCCTAGAGAAATTAGGGAAATACCTAACAGTATAAGAAGGTATATTTAAGGTTGTAATTTAAGGGACTTGTGATCAAATTGAGGTAAAGCAAGGGTGTTACTCATGTACGGGATGGCTGAGCTGGCTGGGCATGGCAACCTCAGAGACTCCCTTTCTCCTGGAGACATCCCCATCAGACAACGGAAGTAAAAATCAATCCAGCAAACTGATTTTATGAGGACTAAATCATGTCAGACCAATTTAATTTCCTCCTGTGACAGTGAGACAGGCTGCTATGACACAGGGAAGCAACAGGCTATCAGATATTGTGGTTTGGGCTAAGTCTTCAATTCCAGCCTACGTAACAGCTGAACCTAAAAACTTGATTGAATTCTGCTGGCTAGTGGAGATGATCTCCCAAAACAGAAACCAGAGGCTCAGGATCTACTTTTTGAGTAAGAGGGAGGCAAGAAAGTCCTTCCCTTTGTAGGACTGGCAGAAAAACACACCCCCCCATCCTGCAGTAAAATGCAGAATTCATCCAACAAATATTTATCAAACACTGTCCTGTGACATGCCCTCAGTCTGGATTGGATTAAGAAACTGAAAATTTACAAGCAGGCATGCTTAAATGGGACTTTTCAGTAGACGTTGAGTATGGAATTGGTGGGGGGGCAGTGCACCAGAAGAAATGGAAACTTTGGACTGGGCTGGGTATTTCAATGGAATAGGGTGGAGTTTTAAAGAGCAGCTGTGGGGGGCACCTGGGTGGCTCAGGTGGTTAAGCCTCTGACTCTAGATTTTAGCTCAGGTCTTGATCTCAGGGTCCTGAAATGGAGCCCAACTTGGGGCTCCGTGCTGGGCATGGAGCCTGCTTAATTAAGATTCTCTCTTTCCAGGGCACCTGGGTGGCTCAGTGGGTTAGATCTCTGCCTTCGGCTCAGGTCATGATCCCAGGGTCCTGGGATCAAGCCCCGCATCAGGCTCTCTGCTCAGCAGGGAGCCTGCTTCCCCCTCTTTCACTGCCTGCCTCTCTGCCTACTTGTGATCTCTGTCTGTCAAATAAATAAATAAAATCTTTAAAAAAAAAAAATTCTCTCTCTCCTTCTGCCCCTCCCTAACCCTACCGGAGTCCCTGCTCAGGCTCTCTCTCTCTCTCTCTCTAAAGAAAAAAAAAAAAAAAAAGAGTAACCATGGGATGAGAAAGGCACTTTGAAGAATCCAGGTTAAATGGGTCCAAGTGGGCAAACTTCAGTAGCAAGGACGCCTTCAGGATCACCTGCCTGGCAAGGCTGGCCCATATTTGGCAAGGAACCACAAATCAGTATGCTCATCCCAGGCCCCACCTGTTGCAGGGACCGCTCTGATGAGGCACAATGGGATAGGAGTCAGGATAGTAGACTAAAAAAGAGTAAGTACTGGGGCGCCTGGGTGGCTCAGTGGGTTAAAGCCTCTGCCTTCGGCTCAGGTCATGATCCCAGGGTCCTGGGATCGAGCCCCACATCGGGCTCTCTGCTCAGCAGGGAGCCTGCTTCTTCCTCTCTCTCTGCCTGCCTCTCTGCCTACTTGTGATCTCTCTCTGTGTGTCAAATAAATAAATAAAATCTTTAAAAAAAAAAAAAGAGTAAGTACTGGAAATGAATATTTAGCCATCCCATGATAACCATCTCATACCCACAGGTAGATACACACACACCATATACTCCTAGTTCCCAAGGCAACCATTCCTTGAAGCTGTACTGTTTTTTTGGTTTTTTTGTTTTTCCCCATACTAGATCTTTTCAACCATTTTTTCCTTGGAGTGCAGCTCTGGCCTTTGACTCTGTGAAGTACCACACCTCCCAAGAAATGCTGTTAAATCTAACATTTACCAGGTCCCTTATGAAGGCTCATGTCTTATCCTCATTTCTGACACTGAATTGAGCCAACACATCATTTGGAAACTTGCTGAAAGCCCCGATGACACAAAGCAACCATTATGATCACTACAGTGAGTCTGAAACATTACAGACAAATACAGTGTTCTGTCTTGTACCATTGACAGTTCTCCCCTTTTTTTTTTTTTTTTTTTGGTTTTTTGTTTGTTTGCTTGTTTGATTTTTTTAAAAAGGGACTCACCAAGTTCGTATGGAAAGGGAGCCAGCTTTGGGCCTAAAAGATGGAGAGACTGATTCTTAAGATTAAAACAGCAGCCCTTATGAAGGAAGCGCAGATTTAGGAGTATTGAACTTTCTAAGAGTATTTCACATTTCTTTCCTCCTCTTGATAACATACAGTATGCTTCAAATTAACCTCATTTTCTATCTCAGAATTCATTATTTAAAAATGCCAACAACATAAACAGGTCTGGAAAGAGTTAAAGTATTTTATGCAAGTAATGATCTGGCTTTTGACAACATCCATATACTAAGTAGTGAGGTGTTCTCCTTTTCCACCAACACATTTATGACTAAAGGTCAGTCTGCGGTAACAGATTATTTTCATCTCTATAATCATTAGTGTCTGCTTTAAAAAAAAAAATTCTGCTAGGTGACTGGACCAGAAAGTTCTCTGCATATCCTTCTGTTAAATTTCTGCTAGTGGGGGAATGGTAAGAGTGTGTAATGCACAGCCCCAGTCCACATCTGTGCCCTGCCTCCTAGGAAGTACGGAGGCACCGCAGGGTGGGGAGGAAGTCTTCACTCTGGAACACCTGCTGGGGAGAAGTGAGCTTCAGTGCAGAACCAGTGGTGGGGCGAGCGGGCGTGCTTTGTGCCCTGAACTAGGATTCTGGTTTTCGCAGCCCGAGGGAAAGAAGGGAAAGCGAAGAGGAAGACTCCACCCAGGCAATCTGGGTCAGGCGCCCTGTCTATAAATCAAGGCAGAGAGAGTCCAGGTGGCGTGGCGGGGGGTTTGAGAGGGGGCCGGATTGGGTCCACCGGGGCCGGCGGGGGAGGGGGGCGGAGAAGGGGGGCGAGGAGGGACAGAGACGAAGGCAAGCGCGCCGGGCCGCGGGTGGGTGGAGGGTCAGGTGTGCGTGCCAGGTGGGCTATCCTCGCGGCGGATGCGTCGGTCCCAGCACTGAGCGCCCTCGGCTCCCGGGACTGGCTCAGTCTCTGCAAGGGTGTCGCGCTGACCCCACTCTCTGGGCCTGGGTCTGTCGGTCTGCCAGCAGGCAGGTCCAGTCGATATGCCGTCCTCACCTCCCCTCGACCCCCTACCACTCTCACGGAAATCTCCGGCTGCCCCGGCGCCCCTCATCCCTCCCGCTGGTCTCTCGGCTCTGGTCTCCCGGCGCCCGGGGTCCGCGGCAGCTGCTCACTCACCCGCGTGCAGGCCGCCCGCCTCGGGGCCGCTGTCGGTGGCCGCGGCGCTGGGCGGCGCGTCCGAGTCGGTGTAGGTGAGCCAGGTGGACTCGGTCTCCCGGGTCCAGCTCTCGTAGTAGCGGGGCTCGATGGCATCGGCCCGGCTCCCGCCACAGCCCATCCTCCTGCGCTGCGGGCGCGCCCGGCGGCCCTTCGGCACGCGGCTCCGGCGGTGGCGGCTGCTCAGCCCCGGCGGCGCAGCCCAGGCCGGCGAGGAGGCGGCTGCGGCGGCGGCGGCGGCATCGCGTCCCCGCCCGCGCCGCAACCAGGCGCCCAGCTCCCGCCTCGCCCCCCGCCCCCGACGCCTCGCGCTCTCCCCGCGCCCCTCCTCCCCGCTTCCCAGGCCCTCCCTTCCCGCGTTTCCCTCCCCTCCCCCACCCCCCTCCCTCCCTCGGAGCGCCGAAGCTGGTCGGGGGCGCAGGAGCGGCAGCCAGAGAACGTGAGGACAGCGGGGGTCCCAAGAGAGGTTCGGCCCCACGGGCTGAGATTACGCTCCCAGGGTCCTGCGCATCCATCCATCCACACACTCCCCTGTTCATCCGTTCATCTATTCACCCATTCATGCAAGCATCCTTCTTTCCCTCTTTTCTTCCCTTCCTCCCTCCCTTCCCTTCTGTCCTTCCTCAATTTTCCCTACCTTCCTCCCTTCCTTCCATTCATCTATTCTGGGGAGAACTGGAGCGCCTGGGAAGGAATCCAAGCGTTCTGGCCACTTGTTTCAAAAGCAGTAGAGCTGAGGACAAGCCCCCCAAAATGGGCAGAAAGTAATGCCATTAAGAATTAAGGAACAGGGGCGCCTGGGTGGCTCAGTGGGTTAAAGCCTCTGCCTTCAGCTCAGGTCATGATCCCAGGGTTCTGGGATCCAGCCCCACATCCGGCTCGCTGCTCAGTGGGGAGCCTGCTTCCTCCTCTCTCTCTGCCCAGCTCTCTGCCTACTTGTGATCTCTGTCTGTCAAAAAAATTAAATAAAATCTTAAAAAAAAAAAAAAAGAATTAAGGAACAGTCAGTGCCCTTTTCTGGTCTTAGCTGGTTTGGAGAGTAGGAGTGGGGCCCATGATTTCTGATGGAGTTGGGCTAGACTCTATCACTAACACCTTTCCAGTTCTGTGACTTTGAACTTTGTTTCCAAGAAAGTGAAACAGAACAAGCTCTCCCTGGGGCTGGGAGGCAGGGCTGGCTCTCCTCCAAGCCCACCAGCAGCCTTGACATTCCTGTGTCCACTGCCCAGCTGTCAGCCCTTCATTCATTCCCTGTTGCACACTCAGCAATTTGAACACTAGAGTTCAGACTTGGGTGGGCCAATGAATTTACCTGTCCGAAAGACGTCACAACACCTGGTAAAAGAAGGAAACTGCCCTTAAAGGCGAGGTCTGGAAAGGAGAACTGGAAGAATAAATCCTCAGTGACCCAGCTCTGCCAGAATAGAACATGACGTTGAATGAGTATTGTTTTCATTCATTCAACATGTATTTACTAAATACCTATTATAGCAGAACACTGCTAGTATGTATATAATACACTGTGTATATTACCCATTATATATACATTGTAGTGTGTACTGTTTAAAACAGCTTACAAAGTATATAGAATAAAGGTATAGTATTCATTATACCCTACATAATGTACAGAATGTAGACACTGTCTATAATACACAGCATCTAGTAAATAGACCAAGTCTAGGGCATTGCCTTCAAATAGTGTTCATCAAATATTTTCTTAATGAGTGAATGACAAGAGGCAATATGGGGATGTGGTTAAGAACACAGATCTAGGGCCCAACACTGAATTTGGAGCTTGGCTCTGCCGCTTACCAACTGGATGGCCTTGGGCAAGTTTTCTAAGCTCTCTGTGCCTCAGTTTCCTCATTTGTGAATGGAGATAGTAAACTGTCTAAGGATGTGTAAGTGCTTGGGAGAGTGTCTGGCACAGAGGAAGCGCTCAATATTAGCTATCATGCACATCTGGGGCAAGAAGAAAGAAACATGGCAGCTCTACCCTTAAGGAGTAAATCACTGAAATGATATATTTTCATATGAGATAATGTCTGTGAATTTCTTAGCACACAGAAGAAAGTTTGGTAAATCATATTTTTTTCTTTTCCCTCCTTCCCTTTTCCTTCATTATGTTACTAGCAACCTTCCTGCAAATTTCTTACCACCATTCCTACATAATCATCATCAACAGAGCAACATTCTATTTTTTTTCATGGAACCTCTTCTGCTGTTACACAACACCAAAAAATCAGAGTCTTTTGGGACCTAGAAAAAGTTAAAGATCAGTTGATCCAGTCCTTTAATTTTACCAACTGGGAAATCATAGTCCAGAGAGGTTTGGGGTGTCACCCCAAATCACAAAGTAAAGTGTGATTTTTGGAAGAACTGAAGTTTCAATCCTTGTACTTGGGGCCTCTGACTGCTGGTTCTGTACTCTTTCAACTCTTTGGTTGGTGCTAAATTTTCTCCCAAAACTTTAGAAACAAATGTAATAAATTAAATGTAAATATATAAAATATAATAAATTATCTTTTTTTTCTTTTTTTAAAAAGATTTTATTTATTTATTTGATAGACAGAGATCACAAGTAGGCAGAGAGGCAGGCAGAGAGAGAGGAAGGGAAGCAGGCTCCCTGCTGAGCAGAGAGCCCGATGTGGGGCTTGATCCCAGGACCCTGGGATCATGACCTGAGCTGAAGGCAGAGGCTTTAACCCACTGAGCCACCCAGGTGCCCCTATAATAAATTATCTTAAACCATCTGTTCCGAGTCTGTAATTCAACTGGCATGAACTGGTCACCTTTTTCTATAAGTTTAAAAGCAACAACAGGGACGCTCAGTGGGTTAAGTGTCCAACTCTTGACCTCAGGGTTGTGAATTCAAGCCCTGCACGGGGCTCCATGAGTGGAGCCTACATACATACATACATATGTATATACACACCTAGAAAAAATAAAAGCAACAACAAAAAACAATTATTTTAAAGGAAGGAGGGTTGCAACAGGAATCGAAAGCCTTAACCAAAGCCATCTAGAGCAGCAAAATAGATTACGCCTTTAAAAACTATTGCCCAGTGGTATTTGTCACATGATGGGATTCTCGGAATAAAGTATCTGTGGCTTTAAGAGCCCTTGTGGTGGGTATCACCCCTGGCTTGTTTCTATGGAAACTGGAGCAAAGGGCTTTAGGGACCAAAGCCCTTCCACCTCCAGATCTTATTTATGTGGCTAGCGTCACAGGGTTCTGCCCAACAGGTCACAAGCTGAAGAAAGGAGACCTTCAGTGAGGCAGTCACAGGCCAGGACAGAACAGAAGCTCTGCAGGACCCTCAGCCTGCCCTCAGGACCAGTCATCCACAAAAAGACTACAGATGGATTCATTGCCTTCTAAGTTGCAAATTTTCCAAGCGGAAAAAGTTCGGCAATTGAGGAGCTCTAGCAGCAGTAACTCTGGCCCACAGGATTCAGACCCCAGGGAAATTTCGTCCCGAATGCCTAACTTCAGCAAGTATCCCATGACTCTGAATTCAGTGAGCACACCAGACCTGGAGCCCCACACCCTCTGTCTGGAGGATTCTCAAGTAGTTTCCACTGAGCATCCCTCCTGTTCCCCAATCTCGACTAGCTGACACATCCTCATGGATCTGCACATTGTAATTGTGTTGTAAAGGGAAAGAGCTCCACGTTAGCACCCCAAAGCACAAAATCTAACTGCATGCCTCACATCTGGGTAAAAAAAAAGTTGGCAAAGTGCCACACGGGCCCACTTCCTCCTTTCTCACCTTTAAAGAATGACGCCACCCCTGGGGAAGTGTGTGGCACTGGAGTTCAGGTCATACAAGGTGAACATGACAAACTGGAGTAAAAACAAGACAGAGAAACCGAAACAGTCAAAGAGCAAGAAGATAAATGAGGATTGGATTTGGTTTAAGAGTTAGAAAGGGTGAAAGAGGAAACTTGGGGGAAAAAAGAAAAAAAGAGTTGCATGCTACCCCAAAACATGAATATATGAAATTAAATTTAAATGTGAAACTAAACACTGTAAGTTCTCCCCCAAGAATCTTTAAGCCAGTAAGTCTCAGAACAAGAGAGGTCAGCTCCTCTGGGTTAATTCTAAAGAGATTCATCAAATTTCTTCAATGTTCTCAGAATTTATCTCAGCGTCTGGATGAATGTCCTGTGGCACATTGTTATAACCCAAAGGAAAACCCACAACAAAGCAGTTGTTATTGTTTCCATGTTTTTGATTTTAGGATATTCCCTTTCTGTGCAGGACTAGCTCATTGATAAGGTGTAATGAATAACCAATTTGTTCTCTCAATGGGGAGAATGAGCCACATTCTCCTGGAAATGGCCTGGAGAGGAATTAGAGGTAAGAAGAGATCCAGAGAGCCATAGTTCCACAGGACTAATTCCAGAGACAATTCTGAAAGTCCCAAAAGGTTCCGATAAAGCATCCACACAGCAGAACCTAGCACGTCAGCACCCTCATTATCTATGTCCCCTCCCATCACACCGGGTGAATTCATGTTGTTCCTGCACTTCCTCTGCACCTGAAACAAGGAAAGGTTGAATCATTTGCCAAAGTTACTCTAAATGTCAGGAAGAGAAAGATTAGAGCCTAGATCTCTCAGTCCGTACACAGGGCAGCTTCCTTCTCCTTAGAGCAAAGGAGGGGCAGGTTGTAACTTCTTCCCGAGTTTGAGAATGAGCATTTTTCTATGGCTCTGCATGTTGCTGCCTTTAAAGTGCAGTGTTTATTAAGAACAATGGTCCCAATTCCATGCATTAGCTCTCTCTGATCGAGCCTTCACCTTGAACCCAGGAAGATGCTGACAGCATGTGAATCGGGAAAGTAGTTTGAGAATCAGTAAGCACTTATCAGAACATAATCTGGTAAAGAGAGAGGAACCGAAAGAGATGGAAGAGAGTCAGCCTGCTGCTGGCAGAGGACCGTGAGTTTACCATGCCAGGAGTCCCGGAGTGCGCGGTCTGGGTTTCTAAGGCAAAGCTCGAGGACAGGAACAGAACGTTCTCCTCACCCCTGACTATGGCTTGGAGCACGGAGGCAAACTGTGGCTTGGGGTTCTTGACCATTCACAGAAATGTTCATGTAGCCCAGAGTAGGCC